TCATTATTTTGAAATTCTCGGCCTCAAAACTCAATCGATGGAGCTCTCTAGTAATAACCGAAGGATCATCTGAAGCATCTTTAATTTCAACCCCTTTTGCTATTAGCAGCCTTAATCTGGTATGGTTTAGCTCTTCCTTAAGAGAAGATATTTTTGAAGTATTTTGAGCTAACCTCTCACGCGTTTTCTCAAGTGAGATTCTTTCCTTCTCTAACTTCTTATTTAAAGATTCGACAGAAGTTCGAACATCAGCGAGTTCTGGTTAAATTCAACTTGGCCTGCTTCAGTTCCTGTAATATTAAACCCGACAAAGATGGAAGATGGGAAGCAAAACCTTGTCTGGAAGGTTGAAGAACATTCAATTGACTCATCTGGTTCAGTTCTTTCAAGATCAGTTCTTTCTCCAATACTGATTTTGTTTTTTTAAAACAAAGGGGCTTTGGCAGCGGTTCAACCTAGAACTGGTGCCATAGGTCCACCCTCCCCCTTTTTTTTCTTCCTTACTACTTTGGTTGTTGAAGAACCGAGGCAGTATCCTTTGAGATATTACCTCGGTTAGAACCGAGGCCAAAAGTCTCCCATCTTTTTACCTCGTCCGTATATGCCTCGATTCCACAACCGAAACGTATTGTCAAAAACAACCGATGTCTTTTCCCTTCACCGCACTAGTGAATTTTCAAGTTTTCTATTTCTCACATTTTTATTTTCAAACACTATAGAGCACAATTTTTTTTGTCGGTAAATATCACTTTATCAACGTATTTGACACTAAATATATTACCATATGACTTCTTTTTCTTTTTGACAAAAATGTTTAAAAACTGTATATAACAATTTATCCCAAGATAATACGAAGGTTCGTCACAAAATGAGTTGATTAAGCGAAATAATGATTACTCAAATCAACCAGAAAAACACATGACTTGAAGTAAGACAAGAATTGTTTAGGAAAGGAAAAATGATACTTTAATAACTTTTATTTGACAATTTTTTACAATGTCACGTGTAAGGTGTCAATGATTCATTTGAATTATTTTTTTTAAACAAAAAAACTAACACGAAAGTCAAAAATAGAGGTCAAAAGAGGTTTCGTAGTGTCTTCTATTTCATTGTTCAAAATTCCCTGCTTCTTTTTCTCAAAATCTCTCACCTTTCTTCCACTGCTGAAACTTCCTTTCATTTCTCCACCATTGTCGTCGTACCCAGGTGCTTTGAACTTTCCACTCATCCATTGTGTTTCATTCTTTCTTTCTATAGCCGTCATGGTCGTTTCATTTTTTTTTGTTCGATATCCTATCTTCCGCTTTGCGAAAACCTAGTTGTCCAAACCTTTCGTTCGATCGTTCGATTCTTCGAAAGCCCATTTCCCATTTCCTTTTTTGTTTTGTGTGTTTTGTAATAGAGAAAACTAGTCAAGTTGGTCAATGTGTTTATGATAACAAGGAATCTGTCAAGTTGGTCAATGTGTTTCCATAATTAATGCATCAATGAGAGTTTTGCTGAATGCAACAAATGATATACATTGCTAGGCAATGATCAAACAAACTCTTGATATGTCTTAATAGATAAAAGTGTCAAACGATGTTCTTGGAAAGCATGTTAAAAGTCTGAAATGATATTCCAAAAACTTGTGTTAAAAGACACCTTGCTAAATGAATTTCTTGAATAAAATAAAGAAAAAATTAAGGAAGCGTTTACATAGGTTAGACGATACCATGTGCAAAACAATCTACTTCATTCAACGGTGAAGTCTTCATTAACTGCTTTGTATCTTAGTAAAAAGCTTAAACAATCAAATTCTACTTCGAACGGTACAAAATGTAAAAAGCATTTTGTTGTTCTGAACAAGCATTAAAAGAAAGAGCTACTTAGAGTCAAACCTTCTTGTGTAAGAAGAAAGAGAGAGAAAAGCTTGAAAGAAAGAGAGAGAAAAACTTAAAAGAAAGAAGAGATACTCTCAAGTTTCATTGATATATAAGCTTATTGTAAGAAGAGAGTAGAGAGAAAAATTGTGTGAGTTTGTTAAATTGAATTGTATTGCACAAATATCCTTTCTGCGAGAGTTATCGTTTAAGGACTTGTAATTAATCTTTTGATTGTAAATTTTGAAGATAATAAAAAAACTTTACGTTTAACTTTGTGCAGTTAAACGATAGCTAGATGAGTGTGTCTAGGAAAAACTAGGAGTAAGGGAAACTCTCAAGTTTATCTTGGTGAAGTTAAACGGTAGCTAGACGGGTTTGTCGAGTGGAAACCAGAAGTGTGTGAAACTCAACTAGACAATATATCGAGAAGATATCGAGAAGATATCTAGATTGTTTAGGGATATCAAAAGTGGTGAAAAATATTGCACAACCAGGGAGTGGGTGAAATTCAGTTAGGGTCACAATAACGGGGGTTACTGGGTTGACTATGACAACCAGGATTGGGTTAAACTAAACTAGACAATATATCTGGAGGATACTTGGACTGTCTAGGAATACCAGAAGTGGTGAAGAATACTGCATAACTAGGAGTGAGTGAAATTCAATCAGGGCCACAGGGGTTACTAGGTTGACTACGACAATCATGAGTGGGTTAAACTCGACTAGACAGTGTATCTGAAAGATACTAGAAATGTTTAGGGATATTAAGAATGGTGAAAAATACTATACAACCAAGAGTAGGTAAAATTTAGTCAAGGTTACAGTAATGAGAGTTATTAGGTTGACTACTACAATCAACAATGTCAAAATTCAATTAAGGTTGGTTTCCACAGTTTTCAAATTCAACTAATTAGAGATCTTTTGATTGCCCTTAAACGAGTTTCCATGTAGTTCACACACCTTCCACATCAACATAGGACCACCATCACCAACACCACAAAAACTACTACCGTGACTACACACAATCAATAGAAGGACTACAAACAAGGGAAGAAAAACGAGTGAATGAAGAAGAGTGAAGGTGTGATAGATATAGAAGCTTTATAAACTTCATTAAATTTCAGTTGGCAAAAATTTGAGTTTGGATAACATTTAATTATACATATAAATTTAATTGAAAGGGAAAAATTATAATTTAGGAGATGCAAGAAGAGGAGTTGCTGGGTGAAGGGTGAAGCACTCACTCAAAAGCTGCATAAAGAGGTCACCTCCTTACCTTTTCTACTTTGAATTTAAATTAAATTGATAATGTCTGCACTTATTCGGATCTTTCCTTGAAAGTGAAAGTCTCCAAATTTTGCACAGTCAAACTTGTGAGTTTATTTTTATTCTTTTCTTTGAATGCATTCCAAATTTAAAGAGCCTAATCTGAGACTTCCATCAACAAATCTTTATGAATTTAATATTTATATTCTTAGCTATTTATTACTTATGATAAATTAGTATGTTTGTCTCGTCCACCATGTTTATTCTTGACTTGACAAACTTTTATACGTAAAAAAAATAAAAAGTAACTAGATCCATTAAATGATTAATTAAATAAACATAATTTTTTGCAAATGAATATTTCTTCTTAAAAAAGAGACACTTAAATTTATATATATAAAAAATAGATATTTTAAATTTTACTTTTTTATAAATTACTCTCGTTATTTTGATATAAATAGATAGTTTAAAACTTTAATTTTTTTTTAAACATTATTAATAATAAACAATACAAATTTAACCTTTTTTTTTACAATTATATAATCTGGATATGAAATTAGATTTAAGTGATTTATGTTAACTAGAATAATTCATTAATACTCTTCATGTATATTCTTTCGTTACAATTCCTTTTTCATGTATTAAAATATAATAAGTGAATTTAATAAAGAAAATAATGATAAGAATAAAATCGTAGACTCGTAGCTATCTTATTCTTTTAATTAAATTTTATTATGCTTTAGTATTTGGAAAAGTATACAGTTTAACAATCATTTACAACAAATTTAAAATTTAAGATATCCATAATTACAGAAGGAGAGGAGACTTGGATGCATTTCTTTTTCATAAATTGTGAAAAACATATTTCTCCCAAATTTAATGGAGGAACAATATAACAATAAAGCAATAAGAATTCAAAATCAGCTAGATTGCTTCCAGGTTCCAACATTTTACTTATATGTTGCAACCTATCATCAGTTATAATCTTCAAAAAAGTACAAGATCCATCATCCAAATAAGTATTTTAAACATCATTTAACTGTTGGAATCAGACTCAGGCTTTATTATAACCTGATTCAGTGGTAAATATGAAAGGGAATAGAAATTGATGGTCAAAACTTTAAACAGAAAATCTAATCTAAGAACTAGAAGAGGAGTTTCATAGTCACTCATCTTGCTTCCAGAATTGTATCTGTCATAACATTCACTGAAAATCTTTCTGTGGAGGAGGAGGGCAATGATGAACTATAATCACCTCTGACCTTAAGGAATGCAGGTGGTTTAGGAGAAGGAAGGGGCACAGTGTCATTTCCAATCATTGATACAACATCAGACATGGTTGGCCTATCTTCTGGACTTTCTTGAACGCAAAGAAGTCCTATGTTCACATATCTTGGCACAGTATGCAGACTGTTATTACTTAAATTATCACTGTCATCTAATGCACTATCCATTAGATCCAGTCCTGAATTTCTCGTCCAAAGATCCCAAGCCTTCAAGATTTAACACACAACAACCTCAAAATTAGAATGTTTGGAGCATACTCTGGTATGGCACTATGATTTTGTATACTTCATCACATGATGAAAATTCAAGTGAGTCTAAATTGCACATTGATAAAAATGAGAAAATTGAACACCATATAAGAAATCATACCATAAACTTATCATTGTCTTAGTTAGGCTTAAAAACCCACTTTCTAACATGATATGAGAGCCATGGTTAGAGCCTATCCTAGCGAGTTCTAAGTGGGCATTTCTGTTTCCACTCGTTGTCGGGCCGCTATCGGATCACCCATTAATTTCTACTATCATGCACGAGATGTCTATACCTCAGTGAAAAGGGGGTGTGTTGGAAATCTCACATCGACTACNTAAGAAATGCAGGTGGTTTAGGAGAAGGAAGGGACACAGTGTCATTCCCAATCATTGATACAACATCAGACATGGTTGGCCTATCTTCTGGACTTTCTTGAACACAAAGAAGTCCTATGTTCACATATCTTGGCACAGTATGCAGACTGTTATTACTTAAATTATCACTGTCATCTAATGCACTATCCATTAGATCCAGTCCTGAATTTCTCGTCCAAAGATCCCAAGCCTTCAAGATTTAAAACACAACAACCTCAAAATTAGAATGTATGGAGCATACTCTGGTATGGCACTATGATTTTGTATACTTCATCACATGATGAAAATTCAAGTGAGTCTAAATTGCACATTGATAAAAATGAGAAAATTGAACACCATATAAGAAATCATACCATAACTTATCATTGTCTTGCTTAAAAATCCACTTTCTAACATGATATCAGAGCCATGGTTAGAGCCTATTCCTAGCGAGTTCTAAGTGGGCATTTCTGTTTCCACTCGTTGTCGGGCCGCTATCGGATCACCCATTAATTTCTACTATCATGCACGAGATGTCTATACCTCAGTGAAAAGGGGGTGTGTTGGAAATCTCACATCGACTACAAATAGGGCCAATTTATAATATATAAATGAGGTGTAAACCTCACCTTACAAGCCGGTTTTGTGAGGTTGAGTTAGGCTTAAAAATTCACTTTTTAATAGTATTGAGGTTTTAAGTTAAAAATAGTATCTATAATGAATCTTTTCTCGAAATAGAAAACTCATTAGGCCATAACATAGCATTTGTGAAAAGGCTTAGAGCATGCACAAATCATGAAATCAATTTGAATGTGAACATGCAAATGAAGAACAAATGGATGGGACCTAGAAACTCACATATCCAAGAAGATTGAAGGAACTCGTTTGATAAAAGCCAGTATTCTTCTTGCCACTTACAATCTCCAACAAAAGGACCCCAAAACTAAACACGTCCGATTTTATTGAGAAAAGTCCTTCTACAGCATATTCAGGAGCCATGTAACCACTGAACATAAGGCAGATTAATTAGTAGATGGTTGATCATGTAAAGAAAACCACTAGTTGTAGTTAATTAACTTACTATGTTCCAACTATTCGATTTGTATTTGCTTGAAGCTCATTATCACCAAATATCTTTGCCAATCCAAAATCTGATATTTTGGGATTCATATGGCTGTCCAACAATATGTTGCTAGCTTTTAAATCTCGGTGAATGATCCTGAACCTGGAATACTGATGAAGATAAAGAATTCCTTGGGCAATCCCATCTATTATTCTGATTCTTGTTCCCCAATCTAGCATCTGTTTCTTCGTTGCATCTGCTATGCACCATTAAAGATGTCACAACCAAAGTTTAAGTTTGGCAGATGGGATGATATTTAAGAGAGTTCAGAGACAGTAGGATACAAACCAAAAAGGAAAAGATCCAAACTTTTATTAGGCATAAACTCATAAATGAGCATCTTTTCATTTCGATCAATGCAGCAACCAAGAAGTCTAACAAGATTGTTGTGTTGGAGTTTTGCAATTAACAAAGCTTCATTTCTCAACTCTTCCCATCCTTGACCAGATCTCCGTGACAGTCTTTTCACGGCAACCTCATCCCCATTAAATAATGTACCCTGTATTTTCTTATCTTTTGTAAAACTCACATATATGGCGTAGTAAAAGCTGTTTATATGAAGAAGATATATTATTTGCACTAAAAAAAATTGCTAAAGAGAGTTTTGGGGCATGCCTTGTAAACGGGTCCAAAGCCCCCCTCACCAAGTTTATTTGCATCTGAGAAATTATTAGTAGCAGCTGCAACACTCTCGAAACTGAATAAAGGCAATTTCACTTCCTTCTTCACTTTGGCACTCCTATCTGATTCAGTAAGCTCAGAATCTTCAACTTTCATGCTCATGCTTATATCAAAATGGAGCAAATCTTCCCCTGCAAATTGAGGAAAATTAGTTCATAAGTTAACATACTCTGAATTTACTTGGAAAACTTGTTTCTTTCTCACCTTTTCTCCTGTTCTTTGTAATCCAGTAAACTAAAAGGCCCAATATAAGAAAAGCTAGAAAGGAGATCAATATAACAATAAGAAGTAGGATGTTGCTAACAGAAGTATATCGTGATTCTTTTTCTCTTGTTGTGTTGGAATCTGCAGAGAAAATTTATCAACTATGAAAATTCATGTAGTGACTGATAAATTTATCTATGCTTTTTCAGTGAAGAGACTCTAGAGTAAAAAGAGAAAGAAGTAGCAGTTGAGTGAAAAACAACTTCGGAATCTATCTTCCTAACTCTGAGAAACACACAAAGTGTGGCCACTCTATTATTCGTACAAAGCGAAATCAAAGGTATATTGATGAATCTTTTGACGAAGATAGACAATACATATAGAATATGAGTTCAATTCAGAATAAGAGATTGACACCATATTTCATTTAAAACCTTAACACAATAAATATTAAAGTGTTCATCTTATATGATGTTTAATTTTCTTATTTTTACACAAAGCAAGGCTTACTTTCATACTTGTATTCCTAACATTTATGTCTCCAGGAAAATACGCTTCTTGAACTTACCAGAAGTATCGAATTCTGAGGCAGCAAGTCTTAGGTAAAAAATTGAATTGCTATCATCAGAATTGTCCACATCTGTTGAGACGTTCTTTAGATTTAATACGGAACCAAGCCACAACTGGCAATCACCGTTCAAATAGTAAGCGAAAGCAACGCAAAAACAGTTTCTAGAACAAGTACTTTCACACTCTTTTGTTGTATTAATCTTCCTGAGACTGTCCAAAGTTGGTGATTTAACATTATAAAGTTGCTGGAATTTATCGTTGGATTCAGCACCGTTACTGCAGGACGATAAGTCTTTGTTCCTTACACAGCCAGCAGATTTGTTCCCATTGTTCCAAGAATCAGCATCAGAGGGCCTGAAACCATAAAGACAGTCACAAGGGTCACGAGCTTTCGGGTTACAGATGGAAAAGGCTCCACACGAATTAGTAGCACACTTGGATGACTGAATAGAAACCCAATGTTGTTGTTCATCAGACCAATACTCCTGGATGAGCTCACCAGACACTTCTAGTACCAGCCTAGAGTCATTACCAACTGGCAAACTGAAATAGTCGCCGACATAAAAATAAGTATCGTTGTAGTCGTGCTTATCCCCACCACTTCGGCTAATAAAATTGCCAATAGTATCGTTGTAGTGGTCGTCAATCCAGAACGCATTAGAACCATTGTTGATGATTAGGCTGACCCTGCCCAAATCATATTCGAGGGAAAAAGCTCCTGGGGCAGGGTCATCTGCACTTCTCCATGATTGCAATGACCAAGTGTTTCCTTTATCATGTCCTAGTTTCATTCCGAGTAGAAGGGTGTCCGTCGGATGATCAAAACTCTGCCACAAAATCTGTTTATTTGAGGTTTTCAGCAGTATTAAGTTTCCTGAATCCAAGAGCATGGCATACATACTGAAATTATTTGAAACGTTGTTGACACGGTATGTGACTTGTCCATCCATGATCACAAAATTTCCACCAGGTTGAAAGGTAAGAACTGCTGAGGATGTTTCAAGTGCGTAGTCTCGGTTTGCAACCCACACAATCTTGTTCTTGTCGTTTGGAACCCTTTTATACCGTATACCAACGTAGTACTTGGTTGAGTTATCTCTGACTCTGGTGAAAAAGCACAATTCGAACTTCCCGCTGTCAGAAACAACCGAGTCTGAGGTTCCCAGTGATTGTCCTGTTTGCAAAATTTCTCTGTAGGTGACTGCATTAACACAAAACACACACAGGCAAAGGAATAATGTCAAGCTTGTCAAAGAAGAAGAAGTTAATGCCATACTTAATTCACATTGGTTTGCATTATTTAACACAGTTCGACATATTGGCTGAGAAACCCTCTACGAGGAGTTGAAATGGTTGGTATTCAGGACACCGTCGGTGGCTTGACTTCAAAAATACAATTAACCCAAATGAACAATATTACACATACATCTGAATTTTCTCCTAACTATTACACATTTCTTTTTCCTTTTTATCCTTCTCTTCTTATCACATAAGTATGGTAGACTTTTCTTTGTGTCCACAAATATTTTTCAATTATATAATATTCCAAACAATATAAGTGTGTCACCACTTCCTAAGTGAGACTTGGCTTGTTAACTTTAGAAACAGCACTTGGTAGTTTGACTTAAAAACCAGCAACTAACTCGTCAATGGTAATGTACTACATCTTAATTGTTTCTACACCTATTACATAATTCTTTTTCTTTTTTATTTCTTTTCTTATCATATATCCTATAAACCCATTATTTTATTCTTTTTCTAGGTGTATATATTAGGTGCTCATTTTTTTTTTTGTTTATAAATCATTTTTTAATAATATTCTAAACAAAACAATATAATGCAACCAACCAAAGTATGTCACTTTCTAATGGAGTACTTGTTCACTTTAGAAATGGCCACCAGCCCGTGATGGTCATGAGTTTTATTATTCCAAACAAGAAAAGGCAGACAAAAGTGTCACTTTCTAAGTTGGACGGACTTGTTGATGGTCATGAGTTTTATTATTATTTTAAAATAATGACGCAATTAATTCAAATTTGATATTGTACTTTTTTCATGTGCCAGTTATATTTTATGTTTATAGTTAACTATTTAATATCTATACTTATCCATATTTTAGGTATTTGCCCTTGTATATTTAATTATATGATTTACACAAAATTGCACTCTTTGCAGAAACCAATCAAATGAATGCTTGAAACGTTATCTCGAATAGAATTTGTGTCAAATTATGTTAATCACTTGGATGACGCATGTTAATCTAAAGGTAAAGTTCATTTGTTCTCTAGATTAAAATTGTATGTGAGAAAATCATTATCAAATTATAACTATAAACATAAAGAATGAAGGAAAAAATTGATTTCATTTTCCAATATGTGAAAGTTTGTGAAAGTTTTCATCACGATTGACTTGACTTGACTATGCGATTGATTTGATTTGATTTGATTTCAATATGCGATTGATTTGATTTCATCACGATTGACTTGACTCAACCTTTAACTAAAGCCAATTCATATCTATCTATGATTAGGAGCGACTCATCTCGACCTTTTGTCTAACTGACTCAAGCAGTCTCGACCTTTTCTCTAACTAACTCAGCTTGACATTTCGTTTGAGTCAGTTCAACTTAACCTTTCTTTCAATTTGGGTTGATTGAGTTGGACCTTTGTCGTGGGTGACTTGACTCTACTTTCGACCCGAACATACTCAGCTTGACCTTCGTCTTGAGCCTACTCGAGTCAACATTCGACTAATGCCAAAACGTCTTTGTTAAGATAAGATCGTCTAGAGACTAGACCGCCTAGTAACTCGAGTTTTGAAGTTTAATAAAACAATTTAAACGAAATATTCCTTTGTATGAAAAGTTATTTTAAATAGTGTCTAAGAGAAAAATACATTGGAACATCTTTTATAGACGAAAACAAGCTTATAATAAAAATTTCTAGATTATATTGTTTGATGAACAAAGTTTTATAAACAACGTCCAAAATATTTAATGCAATATGCAATACGACCTAACACTTATCAACATTCAAAATTTTTAATGCATGTACAATAAAGTGTTTTGATGCCTGTATACCTTGTTCTTGATATTTATGTAGATCACACAAGCAGAAAGACTTGATCATAATTATTGGGACTAAAATAATTGATTAGATTACTGTCTAAGCACAGTAATCAGGTTTAATTAGTTAGTTAGGGTTTTCTAGTTTTATGGTTTTCCCCTTTTCCCCAAGAACTCTATAAATAGAGTTTCCCTCTTTCATTTCCAGTTGTAATAGAGAATATTGAAGACACACTATTACAGAGAATAAAAGAAAGTTTGTGTTTTTCTTACCTTTGATGAAGGTCCTCCGCAGATCTTCTTCTTTTCTTCTCCCAACGTCCATGCTTGTGCGCTCCAAGTGAGCTTCACCCTTCTTCTCTCTCTAAGCCTCTAGAAGAGCCTCGAGCTCTTTCTCTCTCTATCATCTGAAGAAGGTGGCTTCTCTGGCAGAGACTTGGTCAAGAGATATTTTTATCTCTCGCGAGCTTAAGGAAGTGGGCCTCTCATTTAAAGGCTATTGGGCCTTGTTACCGAATATGGTATTAGAGCAGGTTTAATACTTGCTCTGCTTCCGCTGCCCCAGAATTCTTTCCTACTATTTCTTGGTTTCTTTCTTGGTGTCTTCTTGCTTTTTGTTGTAATGGATCACATGGATCAATCCACCAATCCTGCCAGTCCTTTCTATCTGCATCTTGGGGAGAATCCAGGACTTACCCTCATCTCTCAAGTCCTAAGTGAGACTAATTACTCTTCTTGGAGCAGAAGCATGAGAAGAGCTCTTCTTTCCAAAAAAACAAGATAAAGTTCATTGATGGGTCAATCAAGAAACCTCAAAGAAGTGAGGTTTTATTCGATGCATGGGAAAGATGCAACATGATGGTTCTTTCCTGGATTATAAAGACACTTTCTCCACAGATTGCAGAAAGTGTGATATATGTTGAATAAGCCAAAGAGTTATGAGATGAATTGAAGGAAAGATTCTCTAAAGGTGACTACTTTAAGATTTCTGACTTACTTCAAGACATTCATTCAATCAAACAGGGAGAAAGAAGTGTTAGCCAATTTTTATAAATTTAAAGATTCTTTGGGAAGAATTGGAATCCCTTAGACCCATACCCAGCTATACGTGTGACATCCCTTGCAATTGTGAACTCTCAAAGATTTCTCTGAAATACAGAGAAATAGAACATGTTATATGTTTCTTAANGAGAATCCAGGACTTACCCTCATCTCTCAAGTCCTAAGTGAGACTAATTACTCTTCTTGGAGCAGAAGCATGAGAAGAGCTCTTCTTTCCAAAAAAACAAGATAAAGTTCATTGATGGGTCAATCAAGAAACCTCAAAGAAGTGAGGTTTTATTCGATGCATGGGAAAGATGCAACATGATGGTTCTTTCCTGGATTATAAAGACACTTTCTCCACAGATTGCAGAAAGTGTGATATATGTTGAATAAGCCAAAGAGTTATGAGATGAATTGAAGGAAAGATTCTCTAAAGGTGACTACTTTAAGATTTCTGACTTACTTCAAGACATTCATTCAATCAAACAGGGAGAAAGAAGTGTTAGCCAATTTTTATAAATTTAAAGATTCTTTGAGAAGAATTGGAATCCCTTAGACCCATACCCAGCTATACGTGTGACATCCCTTGCAATTGTGAACTCTCAAAGATTTCTCTGAAATACAGAGAAATAGAACATGTTATATGTTTCTTAAAGGGGCTGAATGATACCTATAACACTATGAGAACTCAAATCCTCTTAATGGATCTCGTCCCCAACATCAATCGTGTTTTCTCACTCATAATGCAGTAAGAAAGACAAGATTCTGGCACTATCAACCATAACCAGACTGCTGAAACTAAAGTTCTAGCCAATGTTGCTGACAAAAACAACAATTGGAGACCTGACCAGACCTGGAAAAACCAAGGGCGTGGTGCTGGATCACGTGGCCAAGGAAGAGGAAGAGGAAGGAATCCTAACTATGGAAAACAATGTTCCTACTGCAACAAAATGAATCATAATGTGGATGAGTGTTATTCCAAGCACAGTTACCCACCTTGGTATAAGAAAAATGACAAAAATCAAGACAAAAAGGTTGACTGGAATTCAGCCAATGTCTGCCAGAGCATTTCTGGCCTAGAGAGTGTTCAAGCCACTCATCAGGGCAGCACCAGTGCTGCCTTCAACTCTTTTACCCGAGAGCAGATGCACAAGCTTCTCAGAATGATAGAAAAGGTTGATGAATTTACTCATAAGATCAACCAGATGCAGAGAAATAACACAGAAGACAAACAAGATAACCTTTCTTGGATTATTGACCCTAGGGCCACTGATCATGTGACCTATGAGAAAAACAACTTTGCCACTTTTTATAAAATTAAGCCCATTTCTGTTAGACTCCCAAATAACTCTATTATCACTATTGAACATGCAGGGACTGTCCAATTCTCTAAAGATTTTATTATTTTTAATGTCCTATATATTCCTGATTTTTCTTTTAATCTAATTTCAGTCCAAAGTCTTATCAAAGACTTAAACTGCAATCTAACTTTTTCTTCTAAGGTTTGTCAGATAAGGGAGAATTCTACATTAAAGATGATTGGGTATGCTAATCCTTACAAAGGTCTCTATTACCTACAAGTTTTTCCTAATCCGAACCAAGATTTTGTTCCAAAGTTTGTTTTCTCTTATAAATAAGTTGATGTAAATTTGTGGCACTATAGGTTAGGCCATTCTGGACACAAGACTGTAAAACAGATATGTGAAAGTTTCCCTTATGTGCAAATGAGTCCTAATATTGTTTGTGATACTTGCCACTATGTTAAACAGCATAAATTGCCTTTTCCTAGAAGTGTTTCTTTGACCACTGAATGTTTTGAAATAATTCACTGTGATATATGGGGTCCTCTTTCCATTTCTTCTATTCATGGCCATAAGTACTTTCTTATTATAGTTTATGACTATAACAGACATACCTGCGCTTTTTTAATGAACAATAAGGACCAAACTAGAGATTTATTGCAGAATTTTATTATTAGAGTTAAAAATCAGTTTGATAAAATGGTTAAAACCATTAGGTAAGATAATGGACCTGAATTTAATTGTGTTAACTTGTATGATTTGTATGGCATCAACCATCAAAAGAGCTGTGTTGAAACTCCTGAACAAAATTCTATTGTGGAGCGTAAACACCAACACATCCTTAATGTGACCCGTAGCCTTCTTTTTCAATCTAGTATGCCTAATGCCTATTGGTCCTATGTTGTTAGTCATGCAGTTTACTTAATAAATAGGTTACCTACCCCCATTCTCAATAACAGAACTCCCCTTGACCTTGTTTATAATACTCCTCCCACTTATTTGAATTTGAAAACCTTTGGGTGCCTATGCTTTGCTTCCACTCTTGAAAACAACAGAAATAAGCTTGACCCAAGAGCTAGGAAGGGAGTTTTCCTTGGTTACAAGAGTGGTGTCAAAGGTTACATTGTGCTTGACATCAACACTATAGAACTTTTCATAAGTAGAAGTGTTGTCTTTTATGAAGAGATTTTTTCCTACAAAGACCAGCAAACCAGCAGAGAAATCAATGACAAAGAAGCAAACATAACTACCTTAATTAATGATCTTCTAGGCAACTACAATTCTATTGATGATAGGAGACTTGTTGAAACCGGCACCAATGATCAAAGGCAGACACAACAAACTGCCACTGACAGCAGTAGCAATGATAACACTGTTGATAGTGAAGAAAATCCCAGTTGCAGGAGATCTAACAGAGTTAGAAGGGCTCCAGGGTATCTAAACGACTATGATCATCACGTTAATCAATCCTTATCTATGAAAAACAATTTTAAAACTCCTTATCCCATTTCTGATCTATTGTCTTGTGATTCTTTGTCAGAGAAACACTTGAAAAATTATCCTCTTTTCTGATTTCTGTCAATTATATTCAATCTAAGTCAGACCACTCACTTTTTATCAAAAAGACATCTACAGATTTTACAGCCTTACTTGTCTATGTAGATGATATTATAGTAGCAGGGAATTCCATGACAGAAATCAATCACATAAAGGGTCTCTTGCATAACAGATTCTAAATAAAGAATCTGGGAGAACTTAAATACTTCCTAGGCTTGGAGGTGGCCAGATCTAAGAAAGGGATTCATTTGTGCCAAAGAAAATATGCTCTAGACATCCTTGAGGAAACAGGAATGCTGGGATGCAAACCATGCTCTACCCCCTTTCTAAGTGATACAAGCTCATTGTATAAAATGGACAGCCACTTGGATGATCCTAGCTCCTATCGAAGACTGATAGGGAAGTTACTCTATCTCACCAATACTAGACCTGATTTGTGTTTCTCTGTTAATTTGTTAAGTCAGTTTATGCAATCTCCCACTAACTATCATTATCGGGCTGTACAACATATTCTTAGGTACATAAAATCTAAGCCTTCGGAGGGATTATTTTTTGCAGTTGACTCTCCAATACTCCTAAAGGCCTTCAATGATTCAGATTGGGCAACCTGTCACAATACTAGAAGGTCTACTACAGGCTTTTGTATCTTCCTTGCATCATCCCTCATCTCATGGAAATTCAATAAGCAGAGACCGTTTCCAGATCCTCCACCGAAGTAGAGTATCGTGCTCTAGCAGCCACTGTATGCGAAATATAGTGGATCCATTATCTCCTTCAAGATCGTCAAGTTCAGGAAGTTGGGACTCCTTCTCTCTAATGTGACAATAAATCGGCAAGACACATAGCTCATAATCATTGCTTTCACGAAAGGACCAAGCACAGAACTCGATTGCCACGTTGTTCGTGAGAAGATACAAGCTAATCTTCTACATCTCCTTCCAACTCGCTCGGATGAACAGTTGGCTAACATCTTTACCAAGTTCCCTCATCGTGTACGGTTCAGATCCATCGTCCCCAAGCTTGGATTAATGAGTATACACCATCCAGCTTGAGGGGAAGCTATTGGGACTAAAATAATTGGTTAGATTACTGTCTAAGCACAATAATCAGGTTTAATTAGTTAGTTAGGGTTTTCTAGTTTTATGGTTTTCCCCTTTTCCCCAAGAACTCTATAACTAGAGTTTCCCTCTTTCATTTCCAGTTGCAACAAAGAATATTAAAGACAGACTATTACAGAGAATAAAAGAAAGTTTGTGTTTTTCTTACCTTTGATGAAGGCCCTCCGCGGATCTTCTTCTTTTCTTCTCCCAACGTCCATGCTTGTGAGCTCCAAGTGAGCTTCACCCTTCTTCTCTTTCTAAGCCTCTAGAAGAGCCTCGAGCTCTTTCTCTCTCTATCATTTGAAGAAGGTGGCTTCTTTGGCAGAGACTTGGTCAAGAGATATTTTTCTCTCTCGCGGGCTCAAGGAAGTGGGCCTCTCATTTAAAGGCTATTAGGCCTTGTTACCGAATAATAATCAATGCACCCAAGAAATGAAATTATAGAAAAACACTAGAAGGCGGGATTGAATAATGTTATGAAAAACATTTTCGCAAATGGACGTTTAACAACCTTGATGACGAACGATCTACACAGGTTGTTAGACGTTTGATTTATAAGGCACTATTTAAACCAAATATTCAGAGATAAAGAGTTTTTCAAGCATTTAGCAAAACTACTGTAGGTGTTTAAGAAAGATAACTCTTAAAGAAAATAGTGTCTGATGTCAAGAACATTTATAAAAAATTATAACCTCGTAAGCAACTGTAGTGTTTATAGATAAGATGTTTTGTAAAGCTAAAATAATGAGCGCACAAATATTTTTATACTAGTTCACTCAACTGAGTTACGTCCAGTTCTTCATTAAGATCTCTAAGAGTGTTCCACTACAATCTCAACAAGATTACAACTGAGTATTAAACTGCACTACTCAATCCTAATAATACCTATTACGCTGACTAGGATCATGTATTAGCATCACTCTTGGTTACCTCTTAACCTTTTTCTACTTTGAATTTGAACTTAAATTGATAATGTCTATTTGTGGAATTTTTCGAATCTTTTCTTGAAAGTGAAAGTCTCCAAATTTTTCAAAATAAAAACTTTTGTGAAGTTGAGTTTTTCTTTTTTTTTTTTTACTTTAAATCATTCCAAATTTGAAGAGCCTCGTTTGAGACATTCGTCAACAAATCTTTATGAGTTTAATATTTATATTCTTTCCCATTTATTACCTATGATAAATTTCTCTCGTCCGCCATGTTTTTTCTTGACAAACTTTTATAAGAAAAAAAAATAAAAAAATAAGGTAACTATACAGATAGTTTAAACTTTGATATAAATAGATAGTTTAAACTTTAACTTTTTTAAACATTATTAATGATAAACAATGCAAAGTTTGAAATTAAATTTCATTTTAATCCATCCTACTTTTTTTTTTCAAATATATAATAATTAGATTTAAGTGATTTATGTTAACTAGAATAATTCATTAATACTTTTCATATATATTCTTTCGTTACAATTCATTTTTCATGTATTAAAATATAATAAGTGAATTTAATAAAGAAAACAATGAAAACAATATAATCGTAGCTATCTTATTCAATTTTAGGTTTAATAGCTTATTTTGTTCCCAATTTTGCTCGATTGTGTGAATTAGGTCCTTGGTTTAAAAAAATTGTCTTGTTGGTTCTTACTTATTAAATTTTATGTCATCCCTTCCGTTAAAAAGAAAATAAATGGAGTTAATGGATTGATGATATGACAGGTCCTTTTCAAATATTTTTTTAATCTTTTGACCACCTAATCCCTCCTGCCATGTCAACTTTGCCTTCTCCAAATAGCAGAAACCTAATTCCTCCACCGTCAGCCAAACCCTATCCGTCGTCACCACCTTGCCGCGTCGCAACAGTGAAGTCCAAACCCTATCCAACTGTGTCGCGACCACCTACACTGTCAATGTCGCAAAGAACTTGCAACCACCACATAGTCTTTCACCATCAATGCCGCAACCACCCACATCATGAAACCCATCCACCACCATGAACCATGTCGCGTTGTCACCACCATGCCGGAAATCGCACAACCAGGTTCGAACCTACGCTCCATCATCAATTTCGCGCAACCCAAATCACCACCAACAACATTATCTTCTTCCTCATGATTAAGACCTAGAAAAACCCCAAAAAATTCTCAATTTTTCAACTCCCAACTCGCACAAATCAGACAACCCTCTCACCATCCCAATTCGCACCGCCACCATTGCGAGACCCAGAAGCTTTTCCTAGCGCACCATGACCTCGCAACACGCCTCCATCAACATCACGAGCTTCGTCCATACTTGTCTGAACCACCATTGCGGCACGACACAAGTGAACCCTAATCGCGATCTCCATTCACACCGTCATCCACCACTAGTACGATGTCGCGACAACCGCCTTCGTTGTGCCTTCAACCTGGAAAGGGAAATACAGAGAATGCAAACCCAAACCCAATCTGCATCCAAAATAGAATCACGAAACCATGTTCATCCCCTTCGTATCCAGAAGCTTTCCTCGCGTAGCCATGGCAGTTCTCTTGAACCAACAACATGAATCCTTCATCGCGCCAAATTGCAACCTACAGAAGAAATCAGAAACCCTAAAGCAATTCAAGACCCTAATCGCGATCTAGTAGCAACGAGCAACTCGCGCCTCCATCCATGGCTGAGAATCGTGAGCAACCTTCCTTTGCGGCGCAGGAGTAAGTAGTTTCCCCACTCCATCAAAACCCTAATTTTGGATGGGAGAAGGGTCTGCCATGTGTAGTATCCACCTCAACCTCTAATTGCTTACTGATAACGGTTGAAAAACCGTTATTTTTATGCTTAAAATTGATACCAAAAGCAA